ATGATAATGACAATAACATGAATTATAATAATACATTTAAAAAAATAATATCACCAATAATATTAATAAAAACAATTTAAGTTTCAGTTATAATCATAATGATAATAAATAATGGTAATATCAAAAATGAAAATGATAATGATAACAATGATGATGATGATGATGTTGATCGTAATAATGATAATGATTATGATATTCATAATACTGATAAAAAAAGATTATGATAATGATAACAATAATGATAATAGTACAAACGATGAGATAAGATAAATGATAACAACAATAAGAAAAAACAATGATAATAATGACAATAATAATGATAATAATGATAATAATAACAATGATGATGATAACGATAGTGATAATAATAGTAATTATAATAATAACAATAATAATAATAGTGATAATAATGATGATGATGATGATGATAATGATGATAATAACAATAATAATAATAATAATAATGATAAAATAATAATGATAATGATAATATAATAATAATAATAATAATAATAATGATAAAAATGACAATGATGCTATCAACTGTATTAATAATAAACAATGATAACAAAATAACTAACAATAATAATGAAAGAAATAAAAATAACAGTAAAAACGATAAAAGTGATCTCTTGAATACGTTGGTATGATAACAATATCATAAAAGAACAATAATCTATGTTTGCATATGAGATATATATCATTGTGAATTTTCCCAAACGTGACGTGCAAATATTCGCTTTTCTCGGGTTCAGTAAGTGAAATCTGGGTTGTAACGCCCGTAGACTTATTTCCCACAGGCCTTAACCATAACAAATCTCCGGGATTTTCTTTCGGTACTTTTAGACTTAAGACTAGACTTACGAACGGATATAACAGGATGAAATCTATCTGATGATGTGATGATGAAGATGATTTACGAAGAGATATGACAGGAAGATAAGAAGACGGAATGTCTACGAAGATCCCCTTCAGAGTGGGTTAAGAACACAGGCAACCTACTCGTCCCAATAATGCATTAACCTTTTGGAAAATGTCGCTGGTGCTTCACTCCCCATCCCCGTGTGCACAAACAGGCATACATACACAAACACAGACACACAAACATAAAAACACACATATATATAAACACACACAAACACATACACACATACACAAACACACACACACACACATACACACACGGGTAGGTCACGCAAGACAGGTAGGCTGTCAAACACCATGATGCAATATATAGCAACCTGAGTATCGATTTCTGTGTTTACAGCGTACCAAAATACCCTGTTTGTGTGTTCCTACGTACGTGCATCCTCATACGTGTCCATGTGCGTGCGAATCAAGGAGGCTAGACAAAGTATTAGGCTTTTTCAGTCATTGAGGATAAAAATATCTAATATATCACAATTCACTGACTCGAATTCTATCACCGAACCCTCTACAAAGAAGAAAAAAATGGAAAGTTAACCACACAATATAGTTTATTTTTCTCTCGTGAGGTTATTCTCATATTAAATAAACGTTCTTTTCTCTCGTGAGGTTATTCTCATATTAAATAAACCTCGAGGGTGACCGCAAGTACGAGGACGAGGCACAAGTAGCCCTTAGGACGCCAGTATCATGATTTTCAGGGCTACGGCTATTTTGGGTTGAGCGAACTCTAATGACCTGACGTTATATCGACCCGCAGCTTGACCTTGGAGCCGCAAGAAGCAACAACAAATACGTTACGTTATATCCCTCGACGTTCGATAAGGTAATAATGAAATTAAAAACGATTAAAGTGCCCATTCCTCTGTGATGATTATGCTTAGGCAATCATGAACCACAATCTGAAAATGCAAATAGAGGATTTGTGTGTCTCTCGATGCCACTGGATATGCCTCAAGATATGATTGGTTAAGCCTCTGGTTATGACCGGATGTGTATCTAGATATAACTGGATATATCTCCATGATATTAGGCCATTTATGTATAAGTGAGATGACTTCGAGTTATAAAGTAATTATCATGGCGCAGCGATTAACCCATTAAATCTTGGGAAGGGAAATGGAATATAAATATAAGCATGGGAATATATAGGTGTAAGCTTTATAGATACACGCGAAATAAGGAAGAGAGAGAGAAAAAAATAAGAGCGGGATTGATAATTGGCATTAAAATAATAATAGTAATAATATCATTTGGAAGGAAGATCCAACGAAATAAAGAGTTTTCGATATACTCTAGACTATACTTTCTATTCTTTCACCTCTGGGTGCTTTCCTCTCCTCCTTCCCTTTCTTCCCTTTCCTCCTTTCCTCTCCCTTTTCCCCCCTTCTTTCCCCTCTTTTTCCTCACCATCCCTTTCCCCTTTCGTACTTCCCTTTCTCCTATTCTTTCTGCCTCTTTATCCTTCCCTTTCCTACCCTTCCCTCTTTCTCCCCTCCCTTCTTCCTCATTATCCCCCTCCCCCTTCCTACCCTTCTTCCTACCTCTGCTGTTCCTCATTATCCCCTTCCCC